AGCATGCTTTAGCACTGTGAGGAGGACCATGATTGCAGCAGACGAATAGCAGCAGCAACAGTGGCAGCAGAGTAGTAGCAGCTAGCAGCAGCAGCAGCAGCAGCAGCAGCAGCAGCAGCAGCAGCAGGCGTTGTTGCCGACAACAACAGCAGCACGTAACTTATGTGAATTGAAACAATTGGGAATGCTGGAGCTTCCAGCGACCGCATAGGGTGCCTGTAGAGCTTTGGTGAATGCAAGCCGTGGTTTACACAGCGGCTGTTTTAAACGGGGGGCAAAACAACAGATGGGGCTCCAGTTTTTGTCTCTAGCAGCAGGTAGAGACAAAGGCTCCGCGGAAATCAGGACTTTGTCTCTACCCACATTACACCACGTTTCCACCCCAGGTATGGGACTCTGCCAAATGCGGAAGGGTTGTCATGGGTTTTGGAGGAGATTTAATGGTAATGTTACAGTAATGTTGTCATGGGATTCTGCACGGTTTCTGGGGCTTATGGGTTTCCATCGGGTTTTGAAAGGGTTTGTCTGTTATTTTCAAAGCTTTTCATTGGATATCGAACGGTTCAACAAGGGTTTTATGTGATGTTGAAGGGCTTCAGGGGGATTTTGAATGGCTTTAGGATTTCGAAGGGGTTGCATGGGATTGTAAAGGTGGGGGTTGGAAGGGTTTATTGATTGTGTTTAGCATGGTTTTCAAGAGCTTTTGCGGTTTGGACAAAGATATCAATGCTTTGGAAAATGTGGGGTTTACGCGGTGCAGCCCAGAGCTGAAGCCCAAACTCAAGCCCCAAAATCTCAAAACCAGAAGACCTCAAGTTCTTTAGCCTAGAACCCTGGACAGACAATCCTCGCAATCCTCTGAAAATACATGGAAATCATCTGAAAGTCCTTGAAAATCTGCTTAGAATACTTGGAAACCCTCTGAGAATCCTTGGAGATCACATGAGCATCCTTGAAAATGTATTGAAAATCATTGAAAATCTGAAAGTGCTTGGAAATTCTTGAAAAATTTTGAAATCTCAGAAATGCTCCAATTCTTCAAAGCCTGTACATCATAGCCACTGTGTTGCTATTGCTGTTGGGGCCCGGGGGGGGGGGGGGGGGGTGCTAAAACAACATGACGGGGATCCTGCTTTTTTTGTCTCTATTTAATGTTCTATTGAATGTACAGATATATGGGTTGACGGGGCTGCAGCTTGTGTTTGTACCTTGTTGTTGTTGTTGTTGCAACTGCAGTTGTAGTTGTTGTTGTGGTCGTGGTCTTGGTCGCCGTGGTCGTCGTGGTCGTCGTCGTGGTTGTCGTCGTGGTCGTGGTCGTGGTGGTTGTGGTGGTCGTGCGTCGTGGTCGCCCGCAGCATCACCTGCTTTGCTATTGTTGTTCTTTTAGAGTTATCATAACCGTCGTCATTGCTGCTTATTGCTATTGATCAGGATGCTTACCGTTGTTGAATTAGATGTGTATTGTCAGTGTTGAGAGCCGGCCATCCTCCGCGCATCACAGTTGCGTGTGCTTCACATTATAGTGAGATGCTTGCTTGCACGGCATTGGTGTCCGTTTCACACCAGTGGCAGCAACGGAATGATGGAGTTCAAGGATTGCGTTGCTCCCAGCGAGTGGGACCTACCCCACCAGGACCACTGCACCCGTCTTCTTAAATGTTTCCGTCGCCTTGAGTCCAACAGGAAGCTGAAAAGTTGAAAGATACTCCGCGGGCTTTCGCCAGCAGCATACATCATATGGGAGAGCCGTGCAGACGAATGTGAGCAGGAACCCCTGCTTTGGCAACACTCCGGCAACTATCGACACGTTGTCCACCAAGCTCAGAGCCACGACGCGCACACGATGTGGGAAGGACCGCTTTTTGCTCTCAACTTTCATTCCTAGCCTCACTACCCTAGACCGCCTAGACCCCCTAGACCTCAAGGCGAGACTCCTGTTGATCCCGGGTTTGGCAGCCACAGGACGAAACGAGCGGCTTTGACACCAGGCAGGCTTTCAGGTTTTGCATGGGGCTAGTCACGGGTAGTCCAAATTGGAGCTCCCGCTGCCGACTAGCGTGGTTTGGCAGCCTGGCAGCCTTGTCCAGCATAGCTCGACTGGCCTTGAAGTTTGGAAAGCTGCAGAGCACCAGGCACATCATCTTCAGCATCGATGCTGGTGACAAGGCACCAAGCTACTTGCTGCGAGACTACATCTCGATGGAGGGCCTCGCACGATCTGCAGATGGAGGGTGGGGCTATGACTACATAGGCCAGGAGCTTGTCCATCTGGGGCTTGTTTTTTTTCGGAGTCTCATGCTGGAAGAATATTAATTGCCCTGATTGTGTGAGATTTAGATTTAACTGAAAGCTCGGCAGATCATGAGCCCCTCCTTTCAACGAAAGCACTGCCTTCTCTCGCAACACGATCCCTTCGAAAGGTCAGCGGCGGGCCTATGACCACTATCAAGAGCTCGCAACAGGTGGTGGCAACGATGGAGTCATCCCAGGGATTAAGAGTCCATGGGGCTATGGTGTTGCAGTCAAAGGGCCAGCAGTCGATCTCATCCATGGCCCCTTGTCAAGATACCGTCCCTCTTTCTGAACCTTAAACCCATCTTAACCTCATGCCCCCAGCCCCAAGCCTTATGTCCTAAACCTCAATCCGTTTCGTTCAGGCTATGTGTACTGGATGTCGTGCGAACGTTCCGCCTTGCCGGGGGTCTGCTCAGAGCATGCTCTGAAGAGGGCGCCTTGGAGGAAGTCCGTTTTTTTGAGTTCAACGTGTCCTGTGTAGAGTTGCGAGTTTTAGCATCTGGAAGGAGTGTTCTTGGGAGTGGGAAGATTCAAGCTCTGTTGCTAGAGCGGGTTCTGACTGTGCATTGCCATCAGCGTTTGCTTTGTTTTAGGCTCTTTGCCACCAGCCAGCACATAACGCTAACAACTTTACCCTCATGTAGAACTTAGCTTTAGGGGAGAATCTAGACAAGGTGCCCATCTCCGTCCTGGAGACTGCGGCAAAGATGCCAGACCCCGTGGCTGCTGGTCTGCTTTTGTATACCCGGGGTTGCGGGAAGTTTTAAACAAAAAGGTTTTCGGGCTTTCTGAATTCATAGCGCGCTGACATTCTGCACCCTGACTTGCTTTTGCATTTTTGTCTTCAAGAGTGTCGTTGTTAGTGTTGTTACGGAGACTGTTACCGTCATTACTATGGTATCAGTGCCGCTATAATCACTTGGATTGTGGATTGCCAGGGTTGTCGTGTTTGTTCGTATGTTGTCTACTCGCACTGTCATGGCTATCTTGCTGCTGCTGCTGCTACTACTACTACTACTACCACTACCACTACTACTACCACTACTACCACCACAACAACGACCACTACTACTACTACTACTACTACTACTACTACTCCTACTCTGTGTTGATAATCCTCAGGTGTCCGTCTAACCTGTTGACCAAAGCTCACGACACTCCGCCACCTGTGGTGGCTCAAGCCCGACGAAGCCTGCTGCGGCCTGTGCAAAAGGATGCGCACGGTGCGTCGCTTGCCGTTAGCTGCACAGTTGGTAGCGGAGCCTAGTTCCGAGCCATGGCCGAGCAGGATGCCTCTTCCAAGGCACCCACTGGCGATGCGCAGGACAGCTCCGGTCCAGCGGCGGCAGAGGCGAGCGCCGGCCTTTCCCCCGAAGGAGTGCAGGCCGTGGCGAGGACTTCTCAGGGCAGCGCAAGTCGAAGTGACGATACATCATGGTGGCGGGGCGGATGGCAGGACTCTCAATGGTCCTATCACCATTGGTGGGGTTCAGCAGATTGGGGTAAGCCAGTCTGGGGGAACCAGTGGTGGTCCACATCCGAGGCCTCTAATGGTGCAGCGGCTTCTTCGACTACAGGACAGGGCGACACCGTCTTTGACCCTTGGGCTGCAGCAGCTCAGGTGCTTGGAAATGTGCAGGGTGCCCCAGCGGCGGCGCCAACAGAGGGAGCGAGTTCGGCGACTACCGGGACGAACCAGGCTTCGGCTCCGGCGACTTCGAGCTGGAATTCTGGCGACTGGAACTCAGGCAGCTGGAACTCAGGAGGCTGGAACTCGAATTGGTCGTGGCAGCAGACTCCGAAGCCAGACTACTCAGATCCTCCCTCGTGGCCGGGATGGTCACACCGGCGCTACTGGGTTCAGGCGATTCGGCGCTGGAACAAGGCGACCGATCTACCCCTTGCTAGAAGGGCCGAGAAGGTTCTTCGTTGTTTGGGCTGGGAGCTCCAGCCTGATTTCGAGCACATTCCGGAGACGGTGTTGGAATCCTCCGCGTACTTGGACGCGATCCTGGCCGTCTTGGACATGAAGGCCGGGGTCAGAGAGGATGATGAAAAGCGGGAGGCCTTCAGAAGTCTTTTCTACCAATCTCAGCGTCGTCGAGACGAGACTTTAGCCCAATACGCGATGCGCAAGCAGCAAGACTTCACCAAGGCTTCCGCTTTCGGCATCTCGGTGCCCTCCAGTTTCCAGGCTATGCTCCTACGTGAGGGAGCCTCCTTGTCGGATCAGAATCAGCAGAACCTCACTGCCCTGCTTCAGGGTCGCGACGATGATCCTCAGATGGTGGCTAGATGCCTGGGACGCATGGATGTTCGAACCGATCGACTACATGCCTACGTCGACGGGGACTCCATCGAGGAAAGCGGAGACTTCACGGCCTACGGCGACGACGGCCCGGACGAGAACGCCGATGACGAGCTTGAGGATGCGGCGGTCTTAGCCGAGCTCGATAACCTCGACCTCTCCGAGGACCAGGTGAACGAGGTCTTCGCGGTGATCGACCCAGCAGAGGAAGAAGAGGACCTGGAAGGAGAACAAGCTCTTCAAGGCAGAGCTGAGGAAGGATCGGGGCACTTTCTCCAAAGGTGCTGATCGTGGACACCATCATCAACGGGCCCCCGGACATCGCGGGTCCAGTGGACAACGTGGGCAGATGAGCCGCGAGGAATTGAAGAAGATCAGCAAGTGCAGATTGTGCCACAAGAAGGGGCATTGGGCCGAAGATTGCCATCTCAACAAGGAGAAGGGGGCTCCCACGGCCTTCTGTTATGCTCCGGGGCCTTGTCAGGGCTCATCGGGATCCGGCTTCAGCTTCCTCTCCCGGGGCGAGCTCCAAGAGGCGGCAGCTTTGGCTAAGGAGCGACTTGGGCCATCCTCGGGGTGCTGGAGTTTCTTAACGCTGAGGGCAGGCGAGGCCATCCTTGACATCGGGGCCACCCAGGACCTCATAGGGAGCGGGGCGATGCTTCAGATGACCCAGGAGCTCAAGCGCTGCGGACTTCGACCTGTACCAGTGGATGTTCCGATTTCCTCGCCCTCTGGCATAGGCGGCTCAGCGAAGGCCGTGAAGGCGATGCTTGTGCCGATCTCCCCAGGAGGAGTCCCTGGAGTTCTTCAGATGACAGTGCTCGAGGAGAACATCCCTCCTCTTTTGAGCGTCGGGTTTCTTGAATTTCTGAAGACTTGCATTGACCTCGAAGAGGACCCCGTGTCTTTTCGTCGGCTGGGAGTGACTATGCCACTTACCAAGCAGCCTTCGGGCCATCGGACTATTCCGTTGGTGCAGTGGAAGGGCGATGAGTTTCCTGTTCCCGAGGAAATCCTTCGGAAATACAAGATCGAAGCCCGAGACTTTCAGTGCTCTTCGTCCGCTTACATAACAGGGAGTGATGCTTCGGAAGGTGTTGAAGTTCGGTTGTCCGAGAAGACAGTCCATGCAGACAGTTGTGATGAGCGTGCCGTCGTTTTCAGAGCCAGTTCCAGCGTGCCTCCTCAGCACTCGAAGCAGGAAGTACTTCTCCCCGGCGGCGTTGTGGGCTCTGAAGTGCGAGAGTTAGCCTCCAGCAGCTCTTCCCTCAATTCGATATCCTCCTGCCGTTAGCTAGGCTCCGATCTTCATGCCCCCGCGCGATCCGGAGAGGAGTCCTCGACTATGGAGGGTGCTGGTTCAGCGAGTTCTCTTTGTGGTGGAGGCGGCCAGGGTCTCCTACATGCGGCTCGTCCTATCGGAGAGGGCCAAGTCAGTGAAGTCAGAGCGCCGCAAGTATTTGGAGATGCCGGCCCAAGCACCAGCCTCCTGTCTGCATCCTGTCGATCGACACCTACGTCGGGGCAACCAATACGGCTCGTGGAAAGTATGCGGTGTATGCGGTGCTCGGTTGGAGTACCACAAGAGGGCGAAGGCCAAGGCCAAGGGCAAGAGCAAGCAAACGTCTGCTCCTATGCCTCCTCCGACGATGCCAGAGCCGAAGGTCGAACCACTGAGCCGTGCCATGGGGAGCGAGGGCTATCGCCCGAACAGGTCCGTGGCGCCGAACCCGGTGGAGAACGAGACGATGACAGTGCTGCAGACCATGTTGCAGAGCTTCCAGGATCAGAGCCGAATGGTGGCTCAGGCGATGGGATCCATCAGCAAGTCCCTCGAGGACATCTCTCGAGGCCAAGGTCAACTTCTGCTGATGGCGCAGGACAACCTGGAGAAGCCCATGTCAGTGGACCAGATCAGCCTGATTGCCAATCAAGCGGCGGTCACAGCCATGGACCAGGAAGACGACTCCGACCTCGACGATCCCAAGTGGCAGCGGGTGGAGAACCCCAACGAGCAGTCTCCCGTGCAGGATTGAGTTGGCCCTCATGGATGACGACCACCTTGATGACGGCGACTTCGGTGCTGTGCTGGGGTCAGTGCTCAGCGGAGTTCCAGCAGTCTCTGGATTCCTATGGCCATGGGAAGCACTCCTGGATTGTTTATCAGCCACGAGGTCTTCACCGATCACAAGATCCTCGTGCGGACGGTCCTGATCCCGAGGCTGATGGAGGAGACTGTGGGCCCAGATGGTGCGATTCTCATCGTGATCTTCCAGCCTTCTCTGGGTCACAGCCTCAGGGTCTTCGCCAATCGCACGATCACCCGGCCGATGATTCTGATCCCAAGGCAGATGGAGGAGATTGTGGGCCCAGATGGTGCGATTCTCCTCGTGATCTTCCAGCCTTCCCTGGTCCCTTTCCGTCGATCTTGAACGACCAGCTGCAGCTAGTGGAGGGCCCATCCGAGCAGATCCTCAGCATCCTAGCCGAACAGCCCGATCGACTTCCTGTTTGGTCTAAGGGTTTCGACTCCAAGGGGAACGTTTTATACTCCGGTCCTAGCGAGCCTGATGCCGTGGTTTCCAGCCTGGAGGACGGGACCCCGATGCAAGTTTGGGTTCTGCCAAGGGAGCTAGAGCTCATGCGGCGGGCGATGTCTTCAGATGCAGATCCTGTACGACTAGGTGAAGACGGAGTTCCTTGCGAGCACGGCGAGTTCTGGGTCTTCAAGGAGGACTCGACGCTGAACGAGATGGACGTGGCAGAGGAAACGGATGTTGAGATCGGGATCGCGAAGAAGGACAGTTTGGCGACGCTGGCAGCTGGGCGTCTGCGAAGCATGGCGCGCGAGCAGGAATGGGAAAGGCGAGGACACATCTCTAGCCTGGTGGTGTTGGGCTTGGGTCAAGACCTACTTGATGAACTACAAGCTCAAGGAGTGCGCGTTCCTCCGGTACATGAACAATTCCGGGAGAGCGCAGGCTGGGATGTTCGACGAAAAGAGCACCGAGGGAGGTTCCGATCTCACCTCGCCAAGCGTCAACCAAGGCTTCTCATGATGCAGCCCCAAGGATGCGAGGAGAACTCACTTCACCATGAGCTCTCATGTGGGTTCTGTCTTCAGGCGGCGGAGCACCAGGAAGCCAGAGGAGAGACGTATGTTCTTTTGGCCCCAAGCTCCAGTAGCCTGTGGACTTCCCGAGGAGTCCAATCTAGGCTGAAGGCTAGTCAAGCCTCTGTGGTGCACTTCGGACCAGCCCTGCGAGACGGTCAGAGCTGGAAGATCATGTCCAACCACCCTAACTTCGCCAATGTGTCGGGCGAATTCTATGCCTCCCGCCAGGACGAACATCGAGATTCTCTGACTTCATCTTCCTCGTCAAGGCTGGAGAGCGAGCTGTGTGCTCGAGGTTTGCTGATCAAGGCAGACTTCAGAGATGACTCCTGTCTTGGGTTGCTGAAGCTGGCGCTCGAGAAGGAAGGAGCGTCCAAGAGAGCTGTTGCCAGCCGAGCGGGCCGAGGACGGAACCTAGTTCTAGGCGGTTATGTTCATGGTGGAGTTTTGGGGATTACCCGAGAGTGCCGAGAAAGACCGTGGCTCACCAAGTACTTGAGCGAGTTCTTAAGAAGCAAGGGAGATCGTGAACCACACACAACCTTGTCGGTGAGCCTCAACACCAAGTTCGAGATGCATGCCGACAGCCACAATCGTTCAGAGTCAGTGAACGTTTCCTATGGCCTCGGAGACTATGAGGACGGCGGCATCTGGGTGCATCAACCTCCTGTGGAGCCTTCGGAGCCTGCAGCCTGGCGCCGAGGAGAGGGCGGTCGTCGACTACGTGGAAAAGTTCTGCCTACTCGAGGGAGATTGATTCAGTTTTCCCCGAAGGTCCTTCACAAGACCGAGCCGTGGATGGGTCAGCGATGGATCATCACCGGCTACTCCATTCGAGGAGAGGAGAAGATCGACCCGCGACAGAGGCGGGAGCTTCAACGCCTGGGATTCCGGCCCCGCGGACAGCGACTACCTTCTGAGCTGAAGAAACAGCTGAGCTGGGCTACAGGATGTTTGTTGTCAGGAATCAAGTATCAGCCTCAAGAATCGGGAGCGTGCTTCTTCGGCGAGGACGAGCCCGAGAATGAGGAGGAAGAAGATCTTCCTCTGAGTCCCTCGTCAAAGGAAGCTGAGACGGAGCCCAAGGCGGCGACTGAGTCTCAAAAGCGCTTGATTCGAAAGCTGCATGTAAATCTAGGCCACCCTCATCGGGATAGATTTCTGCATATGCTTCGTGCTGCCGGTGCCCATGAGCATGTTCTGTCCTACGTTAAGAACAGCCTAGAGTGTGAGGTCTGCGACGTCAAACATCGGCAAGACAACCGACGTCGAGCCCAGTATCCTAAGACGTTTTCGTTCAATAGGGTATTGTGTGTGGACGTCTTGTACCTGAAGTTTCGTGACCTCAACGTCCCGATCCTCAACATGACTTGTGCAGGGACCCACTACCAGGTCGTTCAAAGGCTCCCGGTGGCCCCAGGAACTTCGGGTGGCACTCCCACTGCTGAAGCTGCATGGCGAGGATTCGCCACTACTTGGTTGCGTTTCCTCGGAGCTCCAAGTCTTATGATCACGGATTCCGGCAACGAGTTCAAAGGGATTTTCGAGAGACAGTGTGAGTCACATGCCATTCTCCAACACGTAACCATCCCCGAGCAGCCGTGGAAGAATGCCTTCGCTGAGCGACACGGCGGCTGGGTGAAGGATAAGCTCGACAAGGAGATAGCTAGTGGGCAGTGTGCCTTCCAAACCTTGGAGGAGCTCGATGAGTTCCTCAGCGCTCTCACCGCCACCAAGAACCGTTGGCTCCAGAGGTCCGGTTACACCCCAGCAGCGTTAGTCTTCGGCGAGCTCCCCAGAGTACCAGGAGAGCTCTTAGCAGATGACGAGATCAGCGAGCAGGCGGTTGCGGATGCCTACTCGGACCCGTCAGGTCTTGATCAAGCGGCCACGGAGTTCAGGCGCAAGTTGGAGATCCGGGAGAAGGCGCGACAGGCGGCCATGGCTCAGACAAGCCGAGAAGCCTTCCAGAAGGCTGCCAGAGCGAGCACTCACCAAGCTCGTCGATGGGTTGCCGGTCAATGGGTCTACGTGTTCCGTCGAGGGCGCCCGAACAATGTTCTACATCCTCGTGATCGATGGTGTGGCCCCGGGGTCATCGTCCTCGTGAGCCAGAAGGGCATCTACGTGGCTATGAGGTCCAGACTCTGGAGGTGCGGACCAGAACAACTTCGTCCCGCGCATCCCAATGAGATGCTCGGGGCGCAGATGGCCGAAGATCCTGGTCTCGCTGAGCTTCTCCGTAAAATCAATTCCGGGGTTCGAGCAGGAATCACGGACGTCTCGAATGAGAGACCTCCTCTCCCACCCGAGGAGTTCGCGCCAGTAGTTCGAGATCAAGAAGGAGTTCCACTGGGAGGCGAGGAGGTTTCAAGACCTTCAGAGGCACCGCAGCCTGTCGAAGCGGTTCCTGAAAGGCTTCTCCCGAGACCAGCGCCGGGAGTTCAGTCCGATGAGGGACGAATCGTGCCACCTCCTGGCTTGCCTCCTCCTCCGCAGCGAGACTGGCGAGATCAAGAACCTGGCCCTCAGGACAGCGCGACTGGATCACGGAGGTCTTCCATGGAAGAGCCGGCCGCAGAGCTGGAACCTCCCGCAGAAGCACTACACAGGCCCTTGGAGCGCATACTGGAGGAGTCCTCCGACGAAGAGGTTCTTGGTCCAGTTAATAAAGCGGCAAGACTTTCCTCCGAAGACGAGGTCGTGGGAAGCCGAGCTCCCGGGACTCCGGTGGGGAGGTTACTTCAGGCTATCCCTCGACTACCTCAAGGCAGCAGCTCTTCCACAGCAGGACAAGCCCCTGCCTCAGTCACCCCGTCTTCCTTGACTCCCGGCGAAGAGGTGACTGGCTCAGGGAGAGTGGAGCGGCAAGTCGCTGAGTTCGAGGGACTGCGGTCCCACCGCGAGAGGTCTCCTCGACGTTCAGTTGGAGATCCGAGTGAGGCCCAGAGCCGCTCAGAGTCCTCCTTCACCTACTGTGCCAGCTCCCGAGGCTGGAATCTTCTTGCGAAGAGGGGAGACGAGATCTCCTTGAAAGCCCTGGCGAACGAGGAGCGCAAGCTCTTCGAGCAGTCAGACAAGGTGGAGTGGGAAGCCATGTTGGCCACTGGAGCGGTGCGGGTCCTCACAGGCAAAGAAGCTCAGGAAGCACGACAGAAGTTTCCCGACCGCATCCTCAGTTCGAGGATGGTCCGGCGTAAGAAGCCGCTTCCGGACAAGCTAAATGCTTGGAAGGCAAAGTCCAGATGGTGTGTTCAGGGTCACTCCGATCCTGATACATCAGAGCTGCAGACATATGCACCAACGCCATCGACTGAAGGGCTCATGATGTTCCTGCAGACTGCCACGAACCTTCGTCAAGATTGCGCCTTTGCAGATGTACGCAACGCGTTCTGTCAATCACTGCCTTTGTCCCGTAGCAAGGGGCCGCTGTTTGCTGAAGGATGTGAAGGATTGAATCTTCCTCCTGGCGCGCTCATTGCTCTGGATGTGCCCGTTTACGGGTTAGACGACGCGCCAGCAGCCTGGCGCAGGACCGTAACGGACTTCTTGCTGAGCATCGGCTTCGTACGCCACATCACCGAACCGTGTTGGTATCTACGCTTCGATGAAAAGCATCGAAATGAAGCTCAGGTGCTCGTCGAAGTGGACGACCTGATTGTGGCCACGAACCCGAGCCTCACCGCATCCATCAAGGAGACGTTCCAAGCACGATTCCATTTCGGCGAATGGGACTATCATGAGGCAGAGTATGCAGGAAGGAAGGTGGTCATGGGCAGCGACTACTCCACCGTCTCTCAAGAGAAGTACATCTTGGAGCAGGTCTTCCCCATCCAGATCGCGAAGGGCCGTAGGCAGCTCAAGGAGGACAAGCTCAATGAAGAGGAGTTCGGCTTGTTTCGCTCTCTGATCTATAAGGTCAACTGGCTAGCTCGGGAAAGCCGGCCGGAGGCCGCCGGGTTGGCCTCGATCATGGCCAGTCGGCTGCCGCACGCTCAGCTGAAGGACATCCTCATCCTCAACAAGTACGTGAATCACCTCCGAAGCACAGCCTCCCGAGCCATCAAGATCTGGAGATTCAAACCGGAAGAGATGGTTTTCATCTCAGTCTCAGACGCCGGAGGGGTCACTGTGCGAGAAGGAGAGACGGATGAGGAAGGACTGCCCACGGACGCCACCCAAGGGGCGTGGGCCGTCTTCACTGCTGAGGGGCACCCCGTGGGTGCTCAGCAGGTGAGAGCCACTCCTGTGGCCTGGAGAAGCAGTAAGTTGAAGCGCAAGGTGTTCAGCACGTTTGGTGGGGAGACTCAAGCGATGCTTCAGGGAGTGAACGAAGTCGAGTGGCTGCAGATCATGTACCGAGACGCTATCTTCAATGACATTCGCCTAGATCAATGGCGAAACAGCCTCTCCCCTCACTTGGTCATCATGAAGAGCTCTGCGCACCTGCCTGCGCGACAGCCCCAGATCTCAGTCACTGACGCAAAATCATTGTTTGATTGCTTACTGCGAGAGCATCCTCAAGGCCGTCAAGACCGGAAGTCAGCCCTCGAACTAGCGATAATCTTAAGAGATCTACAGTCCACAAAAAGCTCTGTCAGATGGACTCCTCACCAGAAGATGGTGGTAGACTGTCTCACGAAGGACGATCCCTTGAGAAGCAACGGAGCCATGGAAGTGTTTCTCAGGACAGGGCGTCTAGGATTCGTAGATGTTCAAGAGGAGCTGAAGTGTCGTAAAGATGATGTCAGCTTCCGGAGGCGCAGCCATAAGGCATCAGTGGAACGTTTGAGTCGTGAGTACCAGGAAAACTTGGTGCTACTTGTACAGACGCTTTGGTCAACCCTAAGTGGGGGGAGCTGTGTTGATAATCCTCAGGTGTCCG